AAAGGGAAAAAGAAACCTGAGTTAATTATGATTTTATTTTTGTATGTTCATTTTTTTATCTTTTATGTCTTCATTACAACCTGGTGATATAAGCAGTAAAATTTTGTATTCTGAGAACTAACTATATTTTTGAGTTGAAGATAGATGACTTTCTAAGAATGCATTTCTTTTGGTTATGGAGCTCAGACTCATTGTTGCAGGACACCTATAAAATATGATACTATGCTGCTAATATCCAGAACTGTGTTTCCCTTTGCTTAAGACAAGTTCATCTTAATGATTTCTACTTCCATTACAAGCTGAATAAATATTTACAAAGCACACATTTCTGAAGCAAGTGGGTGAAATTTCTTATTGATCTCTAATAAAGTATGAAATAAAGTGAGAATTCAGGATTTAAGTGATGGTTCAGTGGATAAATTGTTTGCCATGCAAGTGTAAGGAGAAGAGTTTGGATGCCCAGAACCCACATCAGGCCTTATGGTCAAGTGATCATCTCTTGAGAGTGATCCCTTTTTGAAATGGGAGGGTGTTGAGATAGAATGCCTTGAAGCCTGACAAATATCTTCCTTGGAACAATTAGATCTTGTTACAACACAAGGTACAAAGTCAGTTTTGATTCCCAAGTGTATACTCTATCCTTCCTGGTTTCAATGTGTCATATGCACATGAAATTAATCTCTCCCTCTCTGTCTCTCTGTCTCTCTCTCTGTCTTCATCTCTCTCTCACACTCACACACACACACACACACACACACAAATGTACTGCACAAAACACATCATGCACACATTAAAAAAAAACAGGATTCTGGGCATTCAGCTAATATGATTGAACCATATTAAAAGCTGAAAAGACTGAAAAAAGCTAGGTTCAGCCATGTGTCGTGGTGCATACCTTAATCCCAGCACTTGGGAGGCAAAGATAGGTGGATCTCTGTGAGTTCCAGGCCAACCTGGTCTACATAGTGAGTTCCAGTCCAGCTGTGGCAACAGGAAGGCCATTTCTCAAAAAGGCCAAAAAAATAAAATAAAATAAAATAAAATACATAAATAAATAAATAAAAGAGCTAGGTTCAAGACTGTCCCAGGCTATGCTAGAAATCACCTCAGCAATGGCCTTATGGACATGTTTCTGTAGATCAAGTTGAGAGCCATCTCTAACAGTTCCACAACAGTCATGAAACCCAAAGTGGAAACTAGTAAAATAGAGCTCTTGACCTAGAGTTCAGTAGCTGCGAGGCCTGGAATCCGAGGCTCCTAGCTGTGGTCAGGGAAGAATGGAGGTGGAGCACAGTTTTGCATCTGTGCAATTTTGCACAAGTTGTGAGTTATAAGGATTCAAATTTACACAGAAATGCTTGTTTACCATAGAAACATTAAGTTGTGTTTTCAGAGGCCAGTAATGTTTGAAGCAATATAAAACAGTTTTTAAAAAGTGTGGAAGCTTGTGAGGCTGTTGGGAGAGTAACCCTTAGAAGCAGGTATCAATGTCATGGTCTCCCAGATCCAATTCTTGGGAGGGAGCATCAGCCTCAATGAAATGCCTACAAATGGTCAGGGAAGGAGACGTGCTATACAGCATGGGGAGGTGATAGAAATGATTACTAACTGCATTGACTTCATATATACAAAGTCTCCAGTAGCTGCAGCCACAGTGACACAGCTTTCAGAAGAAACACCATCATTATTCCCCTCGTGTGTGTGTGGGGTGGGTGTTGTTTTAGTCAGGGGGTAATTCTTCCCAGTTCTTTCGAATGAGAAGGAGTTACAAGTTGTAAGGAAAGTGATCACCAACCATGAGTAAAATGTAAAAGCACAAATTAAAGGTTGTTTGTACATTTCTAATGTAAAGGGCATTATGAATGCAAGAAACCAAAGAATTCAGAGTATTTCACAGTACTCTGTTTTTCATCAGAATATTAGAATAATGATCACTTTTTCAATTATTTCACAGTTCGGTAAAACCCCCAAAAGAGTTACTATCTGAAGCCGAAGAGTCTGTCCAGAGCAGTATGGGTACAAATTTTTAAAGTAAATTATTCTAGATGGTCTCTTCTGCATAAAAACAAGGTAATCAAAATATTTATTCCCCAAAAAGGCATTAGGCAAATCGAGCATAAGTTGTAGTTTTATAGTTTTCAATTTTTCCCAAAATTGGAATTCAGAATTATTTCAGATGTTGTATCTAAGA